CCCCAGTGGCCGGCGGCACCCCATCTGCAACAGGCAGGTGGGACCCGAGCCACAGCCGCACCGGAGTGGCCCCAACCCCAATCCCATCCGCAGCGGGCAGGCAGGACCACAGCCCTGGCCCACCGGCCCACCGAAGTGACCTCAGTTAATGATTAACCAGTGAAATGATATAATTTTAATCGTTTAACCGGCTAACTTTTTTAACCAATATTTACATCCCTAATTTAAATAATATTCCAGAGTAATTCTCTTATGGCAGCACCATTCTCATTGATCTAAACAAGAAAAAGACTCTCTTTGGTTAAAGTATTTCCTAGAGTCAATGCATATCTGTTGAGCTACACAGCACTTTCTGCAGACTATGTACGGCACGTCTTAGATCTTACAGTAATTAACTCTTGGCTTTAATACAAGTAGACTATTTCAACACTGCATGTAATTCAAAGAACTCATTTTCACTAACATTTGTAACAAAATACAAGCTGTATTCTACTTTGCAATCCTCACAATAGTGAAACTTGTAAGACAAAAATTCTTACTACAACAAACGTTCAAGTAAACAGGAATTGTGCAAGCGGTATGTGAGAGAGCTGAAAGGAGCAGAGCAAAGAGAGCACATGCAGCCCACTGCAACCTCACATCATGGCCAAGTGGCTCCATGCAGCTGGTACCTACTGACCATGTGTCCACAGTCTTCCCTCATAGGATTCACACAGAGAAGCCAGTGTAAAAAGGTTTGTGCTATGGCAACTGGGGAGGGCTCCTTAGGGAAATGGCAATGGCAGGGCCAGGGCATCCAGGGGATTCGCTGATTCACGCAACTCTCAGTCTTTATGGCAGGGCCCTTAAAAAGCCCCAGAAAATGTTTAAAGCCATTCTCCTTTGGCAGAGAGCAGTTGTACTCATACAACGTATTATTACTGTTCACAGACGTCTATATAATAAAATAGTTGCTTAAACATTTTTGAAGTGACCCATCTATTACTAGGAAACAGAAAGAAGCAACAGAGTTGGCTAAATGAAAGTAAGTCTCCACACAAATCTTCCCTTGAATCCTTAGGGTATGTCTACACTGCAATAAGACACTTGCAGTTGGCCCATGGGTCTCAGGCTGTGGGGCTCTACAATTGCAGTGTAGACGTCCTGGCTCAGGCTAGAGACCGGGCTCAGGGACCCCTAGATCATTAAGCCTGTTAGGCCTCTCGTTCCACAACTCCTGGCCCGTCATAAAAAAATAAATAAATAAAATCAAAAGAATAGTGGAGTCTTGACGTTTACACTACATTCTGCTGTTCCACTCAGCAATTTAGTTTTTTTCTATAGCAAGGCCACAATTTTCCAAAGTAAACACTGATTTTGTGTTAACTTTTAAATGCCCAATTTGACACCTAACTAGACCTGTGTGAATAACTGATTTTTCTGTTTGCTGGCAGTTCTTAAAATTGGATCAAATGAAATGTTTTGTTTGACCTGAAACTAAATGTTTTGTTTCGTTTTGAAGCTTTTTTAGATTATTTTAAATAAAATTGAAGGAAATCTAAAAGCAGCCTTTTTGAATTGAAAAATCAAAATATTTTATTTTGAAATTGTCAAAACAAAACATTTTGATATTTTTTTTAAAATGTGTATTTTTTTTGGTTGTTTTTTTTAACTGAAACAATTTGGCAAAGTCAACACACTTTCAACTTAAGGCCTGATTTTGCAGCTGTGTCTGTGCAAGCATATCCCTGCTGCCCCTGCATGAAACCCATTGACTTCAGCATTATTCTGCACAGAGATCCACTTGTGTGGATGCAGTTGCAGAATTGGAGCCATGGTTAGTAAATGCAGTGTAGAGAGTAGGGATGTAAAAGGTTAAATGGTAAGCATTAGGCTTACTGTTAACCGGACCTTCACCATTTACCCTGGTGGCGGGCCGGCAGGACCCCGTCCACGCCAGGCAGGCGGGACTCCAATCCCATTCGTGCCGGAGCAGCCACAGCCACACTGGGCGGGCAGGCAGGACCCCAGTCCCGTCTGCGCTGGACAGGCAGGACCCCAGCCCCAGCGGGCTGGCCGGACGACAGAACCCCGACCATGGCAGGCTGGAGCGGCTCCAGCCCCAGCCGTGCCGAGCCAGCAGGACCTCAGCCCCTGCCTCCTGGCGCTGGCCCGCTGGGGTGACCTCAGTTAAAGGTTAACCAGTTAAACGATATAATTATAATCGTTTAACCGATTCACTTTTTTGACCAATATTTACATCCCTAGTAGAAAGGGCCTTGAATGAGAAAAAACCAACTATGACAACAGCAGAAACCCCTTGTAGCACTTCAATGGCAAAACTGTGCCCCTGCCACATCCCCTGCATCAAAGGAGGACCCTAAACTCAGTGGGTTCCACTTTGTGGGGTTAGCAAATTACGAATCTGCAGAGAGGTACTCTGAACTGCCTGCAGGTATCAGAGGAGTGCACTCTGATTCCTGTACCTGCAGCAATGCATTGGAAGATTTGAAGGCAAGCGAGTAATCAATTCACCACTACACGCTGTCTGGTCAGAATGCCTCACTTGGGGGGGAGGGGAGGGGGGAACAGGTGTTGAATAAGCTAGGGCCTCAATAGTGGCTATTGATCCTCAGTAGTGGCTATTTGCCTGAAGCAGAGAATTCTGGCTCTCACAGAGCAAACCTATGTAAAGTTTGTTTGCTCAGGTTTAGCAGAGTGGTTAAGGATCTGCTCCAAAACATGATTGCAGAAAGCTGTACACAGTCAAAAGGTAAGTTTAGAACAGTGTTTTCTGAGTTGCTTTGTTTTTTAAGAACAACTAAAGCCATAATAGTTATTTTAGCTGGGCGGGAAAGAAAATGGCTCCTTTCACAAAGAATGAGCTTTTCAGCTCTGCTGGACACGAAGGATATGTCTACACTGCCCCAGGCAGCGGGGCTTCAGCTTTCTGCCTGGGTCCCCAGCAAGTCTATTGCCTGCTCTGCTGGGCGGACCCCCTGAAACCTGCTTGCTGCCCCCCAGTGGGCCCCAGACCTCTGGTTGAGAACCACTGACATAATCCATTCACGTGCTAGGGCAGGTACAGTCCTCCTCCACAGGATGCATTATATATTAATATCAATACATTAGATCTAAGCCAAAGTATGCACCATTGAAATTTATGATCACTGCATTATCTTGATGCAAAAGAATTATGTACTGGAGACTGCATGGTGTCTAAACCTCAGAACACATTACCAAATAACATATACCTTAGACTGACAGCACAGAAGATTTTCATTTATAATTAGCTTGAGGGCAAATAAGAATTGACAAGAAACTCTGATTCATTTCATGCATCTTTTGTAACCTCAGCAACTCTGCAAAAAGCTGATATAAAATCTTACGACAGCTGAGAAATAAAAGAATACAGAGTGGTTCTTCGAAAACATATGCAGCAAGTTTCCGAACATTAAGCATCAAATACAGGCTTGATTTCTATTTCATATAAGAATGAGATTTTAAACAGAAGTGCTGACTTAAGCACCAAGATACCACAAGTTCAGAGCCAAGCAACCTACAGCTTTTGAGGTAAACAAGCCACTTCCCTGTTCAATGAAAATGTCTGAGATTTGTATTTACCAAAAACAAGCAGCCAGCTCAAATATCCTTTACATGTTGATACTGGCAACACACCAAGAGGTTCAACTCAGTGCAGCCAAACTGCTACAACAGGTGCAGCACAGACCAACAGCGTCCTCAAAAAAAACCCAAAACCAAATAATATGATTGTGACCAGAAGACAAACACAACAACACAAAACGTATTACTTTACTCCACCCGAACTGCCTGAGGATAGGACTCCCAGTGCAAGGTTAAACTATGCCCTGCCCTCATTAAACCAAACGAGCAGCCTCTCCTTTTCGCTGGGCAGCAGCAGGAGTGGAGCGGGTGAGAGAGAGAACCAGATTTGGACTGCAGGGGTGGAGCAAGGGGCACAACAGCCAGCGGAGACAAACAGGGCTGGAAGGGGAAACACTGATAAAGCTGTCAAGGAGAGACGGGAGGCGTCTCTTCCAAAGCATCTCACGCCAAGGCAGAAGTTTTGTAATGGGTCTGATAAGAGCTTAAATCTCTCTGTTTATTTCATTTTTCTCCAGCGCTCCTGCCTTCAGTTTGTCACAGCTGGAGAAAGCAGCCGTGCCTAGGCCTTTCCTTCACTCCTCTCCCAGACCCTCCCTCTGGGCTCCTTTAAGCTGCTGCACAATCCGATGGGGGGAAAGTAACCCCAGGGAGGATCAGCACTTTCCCAGCTCTCCCCTTGTGACCGTGAAACGCAAGCAGAAAACCTGCCTCTTTATATGAAACAGGGACTGGCACAAAGCAGGTGTGATTTGTCTGCAGGCTTCTGGGGGGCTCACACAGGTTCCCCTCTCAGGGCAGGTGCGCGTGTTCACACGCGGCGCGGACTAAGCACCCCGGGAGGCACGGCGGCTGGGGGGATCACCCCACTATCCCACCCCCCACCAGGCTAGGGCAGCTGGCAGTGCGAGCTCTTGCATAGGCAACAGCAGGGAGGGAAGCTGCGGCTGCTTTAGTGGGAAGGGTGGTGCGGAAACGCCGAGTCCTGGGAGAACCGGAGCCGCGTTGCAAAATGCGATCTGTGAAGCAACAAACCCACCCGAGAGAAGCGGCCAGACAGAGCCGGTCCCTCCCCAGCTCCGCGAGCAACCACTTCCCAGCCACCTACCACCCCCCTGGCCCTGCGCACAGATGCTGCCAGCCTGCCCCGCAAACACCCTCCCCGCCCCGGCAACCCGAGACAATTCCCCGCGGGCCTCCAGCCAACCAACCTCCGCAACACAACCCTGGGCCGGCCGGCGCTCCGCGGCACGGACCCCAACCCAAATCCTGGAACCGCAGAGGCCACTCACTCAGCCCGCAGGCGGCGGCTGCGGCTGCTCCGCGTCTCCCCGGCGCTGCAAAGAGCTCGGCCAGGCAGCCGTCGGCATGCAACGTGCACGGGCAAAAGCTCCTACCTGCAAGGCTGCAACTCCTCCGCTCGCGCTCCAGTTCCCAGGGCCGCCTCCCGCTGTTCTGCGTGCCGCTGCTGAGGCGCCTGCAACAGGGGGCAGCAGCAAGAGGAGGAGTTGGTGCCAGTGTGTAACAAGTTTGGGTTGCCCCGCAGTATGGCGGCTGCTGCTGGAGGGGAGGAGGAGGGAGCTCAAGGCAGCAGCCTGAGGGCTTGTTGCCCTACCGAGAGCAGCTCCAGGGGGAGGGGATGCTGGGGGTTGTGACTTGGGGGGAGGGGAGCTGTAGGCAGCCCAGGCTCAAGCTGTGACAAGCGAGGAAGATTTTGATAGTTGTTTTCAGAGGGAGATTTTGGTCAATGGCTCGGGGAAGCAGGCACAGAAAAACCTGCTAGCCCCGGGCTGGGGGAGGGGAGAGCACTTGCAAACGCTGCCTCAAAATGATGATGGAGTGTTAGCTGCATGTCCGGGGGGGAGATTCAGACGTGTTTGTACACAGAAAACATGCTACGTTTCCCTACGCTGCTACTGCTATCTGTAAGCACAGAGGGAGAGGAAGACCTTTCTTCTCAAAATACCAGGGCTGGAAATGGAAACCTCCAGAGCGGAGGGCTTTTCACTTGTAACAGACGTTATTTCTCATTTGTGTGCCATTTTATCCGGCCTTGAATCATAAACCTGGATGTCTTTCTTCTCACACACACAGACACTGTATAATAACCTGGCTAACCCAGGCAAGATTGCTCCTGCTGAATATTCACAAGTGCCCTGACTACTGTGTCATCTCCTGTATATAGAATGAAGTTATGTAGCTGAGACACACTAGTGTGTGGTGGGGGGGGAGGATACTAAACAAGAAAGGAACTGTCAAACACACTAAAGATTGCCTAGGTGTTGGGAGACCACAGTGACTAGATGTCATAGCCAAACCCGTAGCCAAGGCTTACTTTACACAGGTACTTTATGGATGTAATTTCATTTGGTGTCAATGGGACTATTCGGGAGGCACACACATAGTAGTTTTAGATTAATTCCTTCCACACATCATCTAGGCCAGGGGTTGGTTCTCAGCCTTTCCAGACCACTGTAGTCCCTTCAGGAGTCTGATTTATCTCGCATACCCCAAGGTTTATGTCACCTTAAAACTATTTGCTTACAAAATCAGACATAAAAATACAAGTGTCACAGCACACTATTACTGAAAAAATGCTACTTTATCGTTTTTACCATATAATTCTAAAATAAATCAATTGGAATATAATACACCTCTACCTCGATATAACGCTGTCCTCAGGAGCCAAAAAATCTTACCGCTTTATAGATGAAATCATGTTATATTGAACTTGCTTTGATCCACCGGAGTGTGCAGCCCCGCCCCCCTGGAGCACTGCTTTACCCCCATTATATCCGAATTCCTGTTATATCGGGTCGCGTTATATCGAGGTAGCGGTGTATTGTACATACATTTCAGTGTATAGGATACAGAGCAGTATAATCAAGTTATTTTATGTATGACATTTTAGTTTAGTAATGACTTCGCTGATGCTTTTTATGTAGCCTGTTGTAAAACTAGGCAAATATCTAGATGAGTTTATATATCCCCTGGAAGACCTCTGCATACCCCTGGTTGAGAACCACTGATCTAGGCACTATAGCCTTTGACAGCTGGCCCCCTCACCTACTGTGCAACACTGACTTTCTCCTACAGTGACTGCACTTTCCTGTTCCCTTGTCAAAGGGTAATACCACAATGGGAGGCTTAAAGTTGGTTTGATCAACAATAAGCTCCAGGTGAGACAGCAAGGCATGCTGTTCCCTGGCACTAGCATGACAAAGCAGCATTGAGTGGAATGGCTTTTGCTATCTTTTTAGCTATTTTCAATAGCCATTTTTCTACTTCTGTGCTTCTTTATATGCTATGAAAAGGAAAGGGAGTATCCATTTTTCAACCAGAATGCAGCCACCCTTGATGAAAAAGATGGCAATTGCATACAATAAATCAACCGATCATTGATTATTTGGTTGTGTATCATTTGAGGGTACCTTAATGTACTTGTATTGAAAAAATAGATTTGGTACCTTCAGAAACCTATCAAGCTGCGCACTAGCTACCTATGTAATCATTTGATGTTATTTCATGACCCTTGTCCTCACTCCCCTTTTGCTCCTTTATATTTGTCACACCCACCTTCAGCAACTTGTCTCAATCTAGATTGTAAGATCCGGACTGGGACAGTCTCAGTGCAAAGCACAACAGGGCCCAAACCCTGATTGGGGGCTCGCAGCACTAACACAATACAAATAAATAATAATAGTTAATAAATAACAAACATATACTATGCAAGAGCAATTCCAGTTAAGTGTAGATGACTTTATCTGTAATACGAGGGGAGCAGTAGCCTGGCAGAGGAAAGGAAATAGGCCAGTGACTATGCAGATGTAACCCATGATGCTTCTGCCGAGTCACTGATGAGTTTTTGATTACAGTCAGTCATACCCTATGCAAAGCTATGATAACTGTTGTTTTATTTACCTTATAGGTGAATATGAACCAGCATTGCAGACACACAGTTTCTTAATCACTAGGGCAGAGGTCAGCAACCTTCAGCACACGGCCCATCAGGGTAATCTACTGGCAGGCCGCGAGACATTTTGTTTACGTTGACTGTCCACAGGCACGGCCCCCCCACAGCTCGCAGTGGTCGCGGTTCGCCGTTCCCAGCCAATGAGAGCTGCGGGAAGCGGCACAGGCCGCTTGGACGTGCTGGCCACTGCTTCCCGCAGCTCCGATTGGCCAGGAACTGCAGCCATTGGGAGCTGCGGGGAGCCATGCCTTTGGAGAGTCAATGTAAACAAAATGTCTCATGGCTCATCAGTGGATTACCCTGATGGGCCACGTACCGAAGGTTGCCGACCCCTGCACTAGGGCCCTACCAAATTAATGGCCATGAAAAACGCATCATGGACCGTGAAATCTGGTCTCCCCCACGTAAAATCTGGTCTTTTGTGTGCTTTTACCCTATACTACACAGATTTCATAGAAGAGACCAGTATTTCTCAAGTTGGGGGTCCTGAACCAAAAGGGATTTGCGGGGGGGGTCACAAGGTTATTTTAGGGGTGTTGCGGTATTGCCACCCTTACTTCTACACTGCCTTCAGAGTTGGGTGGCCAGAGAGCAGTAGCTGTTGGCCAGGTGCCCAGCTCTGAAGGCAGCACCCCATCAGCAGCAGCACAGAAGGGTAGCAATACCATACCACGACACCTTTACTTCTGTGCTGCTGCCTTTAGAGCCGGGCAGCAAGAGAGTGGCAGCTGCTGACCGAGGATCCAGCTCTGAAGGCAGCAGCACCGAAGTAAGGGTGGGAATACCATACCATGCCATCCTTACTTCTGCGCTGCTGCTGGCAGTGACTCTGCCTTCAGAGCTGGGCTCCAGCTGCTGCTCTCCGGCAGCTCAGTTCTGAAGGCATCGCCACCGCCAGCAGCAGCACAGAGATAAGGGTAGCAGTACTGCAACCTCCCCCTCCCCCCCTTTGCTCCCCCAGTCCAACTCCTTTTTGGATCAGGACCCCTAAAGTTACAACACCATGAAATTTCAGATTTAAATATCTGAAATCATGAAATTTATGATTTTTAAAACCCTATAACCATGAAATTGACCAAAATGGACGGTGAATTTGGTAGGGCCTTATTCATCACCATAGAATGGAATTCCAGTGTCCTTTGATTATTTTTGCTTTGTTATCAGGAACCAAATAAACACATTTGAACAAAATATTTAGTTTACTGGAGATTTGCATTAATTTTGTTGGGAGTCTGTAGCCCAAAAGAGTGCTTAGATTCAGCACTGCAAAATGTGCATGGTTTAGTACAGTGATGTCACAGTTCTCCACTAATCTGTCCATAATTCACATTAGCTATAGAAAAGAGATATTGTTAAAATTGAATTACTGAGAAATTGGAGCCTGATATGGATTCAGACTAACATCTCCAGCCAGGGACAATTGACCTGCAAATCAGGGCCTGGCCACCTTGACACTTTAGGATGACTGTCACTTTTCAGGCTTTGTCAACACCTACCAACTTTTGTTGGTCAGTGGTCAAGGTGTGAAAAAACACACCCCTGACCGACACGTTTCACTGACAAAAGCACCGGTGTGGACAGCGCTATGTTGGGGGAAAGATGTTCATTGGGGGTGGTTTAATTATGCTGGTGGGAGAGCTGTCTCCCATCAGCATAGAGCGGCTACACAGGAGACCTTGCAGTGGTTCAGCTCTGCTGCTATAAGGTCTGTAATGTAGACATAAGAGGCATTTGAAATGCTAGGGTTTGAGAGAGGTGGCAGGATGTTAATAGATATAGGGAACATTAGCTATTATACAGAGGACCGTGAGTAATCCAATTCCCTTCAGATGGTACACCTGATCAAACATTACATCGTTGAAATGCCAATTTAATCCAAGCCAGCATGCCTAACACTATAATGGATTCTGTCACACCTTTAACATCAAAAAGGGTCACAGACTATAAAGAACTTTGATTTTAGGCAGCAAGAAGGAGCCAATGACACATGGCTTTAGAGCAGTTTCTGAAAGGCTGCCTGACAAAGGGTCTGAGAACAGGATGAGCTGGGGAGAAAGCATATGGGATCTAGAAGTGTAAGGCCTGGTCTACTCTTAAAAGTTTTGTGGCCGTTGCTATATCTATGAGGAATGGGGAAAAAGTGTTATGTGTTTGCTAGTATAACTTATTTTGTTTGGGGAAATGGTATAAGTTGTACCAGCAAAAGCATCTTTTCCCAGTACAGTGGCATCTCCACTAGGGGAGTGGAGTATATATATACTGACCAGAGCCGACTCCAGGCACCAGCCCAGCAAGCAGGTGCTTGGGGCGGCCAATGGAGAGGGGCAGCACGTCCGGCTCTTCAGCGGCAATTCGGCGTTGGGTCCCTTGCTCCCTCTCAGAGTGAAGGACCAGCCGCCGAATTGCCGCCGAAGACTGAAGCGGCAGCGGTATAGCAGATCGCGATTGCAGCTTTTTTTTTTCTTTTTGCTGTTTGGGGCGGCAAAAACCCTGGAGGCGGCCCTGATACTGACAAACCCTTTCTACTTCAGACAAGGCCTTTGATTATGGGCTAGACTGCTGTATCTCCTGAGGGGTGCAGTACAGAAGACACAGCCCAAGGAAAGAGAGACAAAGATGACCTTACACCACCTTTTCATCATACAGATTCTGGGTTGCTACAGGAATTGAGATGGCCCTCAACATAAGGTAAAGCAACCATAGGGTCACTCTAACACAGGGGTGG